CTGGATGTGCACATGTAAACAGCACCTATACAGCAGGATATGTACATGTAAACAGAACCTAGACAGCTGGATATGCACATGTAAAGAGAACCTAGACAGCGAGGTATGTGCACGTAAACAGCACCTAGACAGCTGGATATGCACATGTAAACAGAACCTAGACAGCGAGGTATGTGCACGTAAACAGCACCTAGACAGCTGGATATGCACATGTAAACAGCACCTAGACAGTTGGCTATGCACATGTAAGCAGTACCTAGACAGCTGGGTATGTGCATGTAAACAGTACCTAGACAGCTGGGTATGTGCATGTAAACAGCACCTAGACAGCTGTATGTACACATGTAAACAATACCTAGACAGCTGGGTATGTGCATGTAAACAGCACCTAGACAGTTGGCTATGCACATGTAAACAGTACCTAGACATAAGGATATGCACATGTAAACAGCACCTATACAGCTGGCTATGCACATGTAAACAGCACCTATACAGCTGGCTATGCACATGTAAACAACACCTAGACAGCTGGATATGCACATGTAAACAGCACCTAGACAGCTGGGTGTACATGTAAGCAGTACCTAGACAGTTGGGTATGTGCATGTAAACAGCACCTAGACAGCTGGATATACACATGTAAACAGTACCTAGACAGTTGGCTATACACATGTAAACAGAACCTATACAGCTGGCTATGCACATGTAAAGAACACCTAGACAGCTGAATATGCCAGCTGGATATGCACATGTAAACAGCACCTAGACAGCTGGGTGTACATGTAAGCAGTACCTAGACAGTTGGGTATGTGCATGTAAACAGCACCTAGACAGCTGGATATGCATATGTAAACAGTACCTAGACAGCTGGGTATGTGCATGCAAACAGCACCTAGACAGCTGGGTATGTGCATGTAAACAGCACCTAGACAGCTGGATGTACACATGTAAACAATACCTAGACAGCTGGGTATGTGCATGTAAACAGCACCTAGACAGTTGGCTATGCACATGTAAACAGTACCTAGACATAAGGATATGCACATGTAAACAGCACCTATACAGCTGGCTATGCACATGTAAACAGCACCTATACAGCTGGCTATGCACATGTAAACAGCACCTATACAGCTGGATATGCACATGTAAATAGCACCTAGACAGTTGGCTATACACATGTAAACAGCACCTAGACATGCGCATGTAAACATCACCTAGACAGCTGATTATGCACGTGTAAACAGCACCTAGACAGCTGGATATACACATGTAAACAGTACCTAGACAGTTGGCTATGCACATGTAAACAGC